TAGGATAGGATAGGATAGGATAGGATAGGATAGGATAGGATAGGGTAGGATAAATAGAATAGAATAGTATAGTATAGTATAGTATAGAATAGAGCAGAACAGAATAGATAATAGAATAGAATAGAATAAAATAGAATAGAATAGAATAGAATAGAATTGCTAGAACAGAATATTTCCATGCTGTTTGGAAACCATACACGCAATTATTTTAGGTATTGAATACTCCGACCTGAGAGCATCACCAGGATGCAGCGCTGGGTTTGTGACACCTTGGCCATGTCCCGGCCAGGTCCCAGCCGGGTCCCAGCCCATGCTGGCTTGTGCAGCCGGGCATGGTTCACCTTGGAGCCAGAACATTAAACAGCAAGTGGGGAAACGCACGTGCGGGAGGACGAGAGAGGCACTTGGCACCGCGCCGAGGGGGGAAAGCAGCTCACGGGAAGCAAACAGCCCCCGATGCTCCTGATTACCGGGCTGTGTTGACTTTTCCCCCCCGTCCCTGCAGGAGGACGTGAGCTTTTGCTTCGCTGCTTGTGCTTTTTCCCCTGCACGGGGATTTCCACCTCTAGGGGGAAAAAAAAAAAAAAAAGAGATTTGCTGGGTTTTGCTCCCCTAAATGCACTTCAAAAGCAGCTTATAAGTGTTTTTTCTGCTAAACTGCAGGTAAAACCACACAGGGACACGTCCCTGGCGAGAGCGCGGGAGAGGGGAGCCAGGGCAGGGACGTGCTCAGGCTGCGCATCCCTAATCTGGACTACTCACGACTTCTTCAATTCACAATTTTAAATCAAGAAGGCGAGCCTGCTCTTGCAATGGGCACGTCCCTCTGTTTATGCCAGAATCAAGTGATTTCCCACTACATTGTCACCTCCTGTAGTTTAAAGCCACCGGGAGATTGGTAATTCCCACCAGGCAGCGCTGCCCCGGAGTCTGGGGAGTCCCCGCAAAATGGGAATTGAGGACAGTAAGAAGCTGTTCGGTTGTTTTATTTCTTTTTGTTGTTATTTTTTCTGCTGGGAGAAAATCATGTGCAATATTTTCCACTGGGAGATGTCTAAAAATTAACTAAACAAAAAAAAATCCCAGTCCCTTCTGCACATTTCCAAGCTTGTGGGAAGGCCAGAAGCAGCTAATAAAGTAAGGCAGCTTAATAAAAGTAACCCAAACCATGAAACTATATAATTTTTATGACTGTTATGAAACATCGTGCTTTTTTCCTGACTTTTTCCCCCCTCTGTATTGCTATGGGACCCCTTTCTATTTGTCAACCCATGGTGTCCCCCGCGCCCTTCTGCCATGGTCCCCAGTGCCGAGCAATGGGTATCATAAACTCACCTGCCTGGGCAGACGCAGGACTATTCTTTTGTAAATAAAAAGCAAAACATCTGATGTGTAAAAAACCTAAATAAAATCAACCCGGTCATTGCAATGTTTTATTTTCACCAATTTTACAGTAATTTTTTGGGGGGGGGAGAAACAAGTGCAGGGAAGCTTTCACCCAGCATCAAATGCCAAATCTGAATTACTTCACTCTCCATGATAACACAGCGTCTGCCACAGCCACGCATCTGGTGTCCTTTGGGGTCTTTGGAAATAGAAACAGTTGCTGCTATAGCACCAAACAAACCCCACCAAACCCCGCCAAACCCCACCAAACCCCACCAAACCCCACCAAACCCCACCGACGGGCAGGACCCGGAGCACAGGGGTTGCCCAAGGGCTTTCCAGGAGCAGCTCTGAGCACACACGGTCAAACCCCAAAAATGAGCTTTGCCTCTAAGCACTGCTTCTGCTCGAAAGGAAACCAATCGGGGTTTTTTTTTTTTTTTTTTGCTGTAAATGCTGATTATTCTTTTTTATTTCTTTTCTTTATTTCTTTTTATTTATTATCGCCGGGGGTTGCTGTAGGAAGCAGGAGGGAAGCTCAAGCGATACACGATTTTTCCACAATATGTTTTTTAGAGCGGAACTGAAAGCACGTGTCTGAGAGAACTTTTAGCACATTTAATTAACTTTAATATCCCATTCTCCTCTCAAACTCAACTGACCTAAAGAGAGGCTCCCAAACCTCATACGGTGCCTGAACCTAAGGCAGATGCTGAGACTGGAAAACATTTTCCGACGTCCCAAAGACCCACATCTGGCACGAGACGGCTCCAGCCAGCCCTGCCTCAGCCTCTGCCAAACACGTTGCATTGCTTGAACTTCGGGGAAACCCGTTCCTTAATTGCCCACAGCTACTTGATATCGATTTCTTTTAATTGCAGGCTAGATTAGATCATCTGTCACCAGCTTGAAGGAAAAAATACGCTGATAAAAGACGATCGGGCAGTATCTCGATGGGAATTATCATTACAGAAATGGTAGGAATTGCAGGGGAACTGCTAAAACTCCCCGCAAAAGGAAGTTTCTGCCCCTCTGATTTTTGTCTTTCCTAGTGCGCGACTGAAAAGTGTAAAAATGATTAAAGTCAGGTCTCCACCACCACCTCCGCCGCTGGGCTCAGCCCCGCAGACGCTTCGGCAGATGAAATGATGCTGCTCGTCCCAAATTTTATCATCCTCCAGGATAAAAACCACGGGAGGAAGCTTCTTGGCTGCTGGGTGCTCGGCATCTACTTTCACTCTTCCCGAATTGCATCACCCTTGATTTTTACTGTATAAAACAAAGGAAGGAGGTGAAAGCTTACTGACAGCATCCATTACATGCAGACAACATCGTGTGAAAGGGATTTTTGAGGCCACATTTGCCACACACGCTGTCCTTCGATCCACTCCTCTGCAGAGGCTGCTGGAGCCGGGTCCTGCTCCGGGCGGGGGCAGAGCTTTGCTAAGCCACGTGTCGGAGCAGCTTGGCCTGACCGTGCCTCAGTTTCCCCGTATAACATACAGCTTATAACAACACTGTCTACCTTAGAAAAGCACTTTTAAGGTTGCCCGGTGCTACGTGGGCACCCGGCGGCCATGGGAGAGGGCAAAAAATGGGTGCTGGGTGCTCACGGATGGAAAGCCGGGAGCATCAGGGAGCATCGCCCTAAAAATCAATGTTCTTGAAGTCGACAGAGCAGCGGTAGCGGCCGTCGAGGAACCTGGAGCATATGAAGTTGGGCAAACAGGGGCAGGTGTGGTGCTGGCGCTTCCCGAAGAAAGGGACCTGCGGAGAGACACGGGAGAGAGGCAGGAGAGATGAGGGCATCAGGGCTCTGCCGCAACCAAAAAATTATCAGATGGGATCAAAGCCCTGAGAAAATCTCTGGCTCTTCTCAGAGCTTTAATGGGGATATGCCTGAAATTAATTTTTGATCCCTCTGAAGCCCTTCGCCCTTGTGCAAGCAGAAGGCGCAGCATCATTAAATCTTGCTCCCACCGTGCAAAATCAATACGGGAGCACGGAGCGGGATGCTCCCCC